CGGAGAATGCGTTCTGACTGTCACTCAGCGGTAGAACATCTGCTTGGCATGCAGAACATCCCAGGTTTAATCCCCAGCGCCTCCAGTGAAGAGGATTGCATAGTAGGTGACGTGAAAGCCCTCTGCCCGAGCTCCTGGAGAGCCACTGCCAGTCTGAGTAGACAGTCAGTGGACCAATAGTCTGATTGACCAATTGATGGACCAATAGTCTGATTCCATGTAAGACAGCTTCATATGTACGTGTGGCTTGGTTTTCCTGGGGAGTGGGTCTCAGGAATCCCCTCTCCACGGGCTCTGTTCAAATGCAGCCACAGGACCGAACTGACCCATTCCTAAGACGGAAAGTCATCTTCTTAATCGGTCTTCTGTTTTCTTACACACTTTCCCCCTCCAATAATCAAATCATGCCCACAAGAAAGAAAGAATAGTGGACGCGAGAGGAACACCCCACCTACCCTAACATGGCTACTCCCTTTTTCCTTGTATCCACAGTTCCGCACAGTGACCGGCAATGAATATCTTTTGCAATCAGATAGTGAAGTTATCAGCCAAGACTGGTATCAAGCTATCAAAGGAGTCATCCGGAGGCTGGTGAGCGGAAGCCGCAAGTGGGGAGGAGCTGCCAAGAAACTTATTCTGACCCAGCTGGGAGATCATAAGGGCTCAATGAAGCGTTACGTGTCTTGACTTGGATAGCCCAGGGTAGCCCATTCTCATCACATCTCAGAAGCTAAGCAGGGTCGGCCCTGGTTAGTATTTGGATGGGAGACCGCCAAGGTTTATCAGGGTCGCCGTGCAGAGGAAAGCAATGGCAAGTCACCTCTGAACAACTCTCACCTTGAAAACCCCGCGGGGTCACCATAAGTCAGCTATGACTTGATGGCGAAAAAGAAGCATGATGTGTGAACCCAGTTATGATATTATATGTATTCTGACTGTGACATGGGAAACTCCAGAACGGGGCATATGGCTCCCCCATGGCTGTTTCAGCTCGAGAAAATGGCACAGGAGGGAACGATGAAACTCCTTCTTTCCCCATGCCATGCTTGCAAGCAGGAAGTGGCCCTGCAGCTCTCGGAAACACGGTTCCCCTGATGTTGCATGTACTGCTAGCTGCGTTGGGGGAGCCCCGACCCAGCTTGGGTCACACATAACCCTAAGCGGCTGAGCAAAGCCTGGGCCTGTAGAAGATGTCCAGTAGCAGGTAACATGCCAGGAGCAGCCCGTTCAGGACCTAGGAGAGCTCTAATGCAGAGCAGATGTTGCTTTGACAAGGGCCGGAGCCCAACTGAGCTCTGAAGTAATCTGCCAGCTAGATTCATTCAAGCCTCATTCATCAGCTTGCAGACATTTCAAAGGCGGAAGCTGTGCACTTCAGCATTGCTAGATGGTCTCCGTGTGGAGCTTACAGAGGGATGAAGGGGCAAGTGAGATGACTCCTACTACAGTTCCTTTTTTGGTGGATCTGAATCCTTGATCTCAGCGGTAGCATCAGGTGTGAAGTCACCTGCAGATTCCTGTGGTTGCATTGCGGTATAAACCAGGGGTCTCCAACGTGGTGCCCATGGGCACCCTGGCACCCACCACCACCTTTCTAGGCACCTGTCAACTGTTTCTAGAAAGTGGGTAGGGCTTTTGACCAGGAAGGCTTCTGATAGGCCGTTGGAAATCTGTTTGGCTGTGCAGATTTCTAAAAACGTTGCTTTGGCAGCAGCTGTCACTACTGCACAAGGATCTTCACCGTGTGACGGAAGGTAGGCTGCGGCAGCCATTTTATGGCCGCTATTTTGGGAGCCAGTTTGGTGTAGCGGTTAAAAGCGCAGACTCAAATCTGGGAGAACTGGGTTTGATTCCCCACTCCTCCACATGCAGATGCTGGCTGACCTTGGGCAAGCCACAGTTCTCTCAGAGCTGTTCTCTCAAGAGCAATTCTCGAAAGAACTCTCTCAGCCCTACCTATCTCACAGGGTGTCTGTTGTGGGGAGGGGAAGGAGATTGTAAGGTGCTCTGAGACTCTGAGTGAAGGGTGGGGTATAAATCCAACTCTCCTCCTCCTCCTCCTGCTGTTGTGCCCACCATATTATGCCAGACCTCCAAAGGTGCTCGTAGACATAAAAAGGTTGGGGACCCCTGATATAAACCTTCTGCTTCAGGGCAGAGTGGCATGTTATGTTGGAGATCCCATGATCATATCTTCCAGCGTGCTTTTTGAACCCTCAAAAGCAGCCCTGTTTGTATATGGTTTGAGTCTGGACTACAGCTGTGGTGGATAGCTTTTCCCCTTTTTACCAGCCAAAAAGTACCCACCCAGCTGCAGTTATCACTGGTAGAGAAGGCAGCAGGTACCCACTCCAGCAATGTGTAGTTTGGCCCTTGAAGATACTGACAGTGATGTCCAGGAGATGAGATGTGTCAGAAAGAGTGGACTGGCAGGACTCATGCCATCTTGGCCTGTGCTGTTTTGCAGCCCTAATCCAGGACAGTGTGGCTTGGCCACAAAGCTGAAACTGGGGTCAAGCAAGGTCTGGAATGAAAGGAGAGTACCAAGAGTCATAGAATCATAGAGTTGGAAGGGACCTCCATGGTCATCTAGTCCAACCCCCTGCACAATGTAGGAACTACTAAACATTGTTGGAAACATACAGGGAAGGGCCATGGTAGGGGAGAGTAGAAGAGATTGGATTTATACTCCACCCTTCACTATCCGAAGGATTCTCAGAGTGTCTTACAGTTTCCTTTCCCTTCCCCTCCCCACAACAGACACCCTGTGAGGTAGATAGGGCTGGGAGAGCTCATTCGAGGACTGCTCATGAGAGAACAGCTCTGAGAGAACTTGTGACTGACCCAAGGTCACACTGGCAGCTGCACGCGGAGTAGTGGGGAATCAAACCCGGTTCTCCCAGATTAGAGTCCACGCTCCTAACTACTACACCAAACTAGCTGTCATTTGTTTTGTATGTGGAAGGCCCCAGGTTCACTCCCCAGCATCTCCAGTGGAAAGGATCAGGTAATAGTTGAGGTCAAAGAGCTCTGCCTGAGGACCCGGAGAGCTTTTGCCAGTCAGAGCAGATAATACGGACCTTGATAAACCAGGAGTCTGATTCAGTATAAGGTAGCTTCATTATCAAAGGGGGTTTGCCGTGGCTGAGTGGCAGTCATCTGCTTTGCATGCAGGTGGTCCCAGGCTCAACCCCCAGCATCTCCAGCCAAAAGGATCAGGCAGCAGGTAATGCAAACGCCTTCGGACCAAGACACTGGAGAACTGCTGCCGGTCAGAGGAGATGGTACAGACCTTGGTAGGCCAACAGTTTGACTTGGTAGAATATGCATAGTCAGGTTTAGGGGTCAAGGATGAATCAGATCGCAAGTATTTGGCCAACGGGTGCCCTCTTAACCGAGGACTCTGACCCACAGAAACGGCACACTGTTCAGAATACAAGATGAGTAAAAGGTAAAGGTAAAGGTTCCCTTGCTCGAAAGCCAGTCGAATCCGACTCTAGGGTTACGGTGCTCATCTCCGTTTCAAAGCCGAAGAGCCAGCGCTGTCCGAAGACGTTTCTGTGGTCATGTGGCCGGCATGACTAAACACCAAGGTGCACGGAACACTGTTATCTTCCCACCGAAGTGGTACCTATTGATCTACTTGCAATTTCTTGCTTTCGAACTGCTAGGTTGGCAGGAGCTGGAACTAGAGACGGGAGCTCACTCCGTCATTCGGCACCCTGGGTCTTGAACTGCTGAACTACTGACCTTCCACAGCCTGCAGTTCAGCGTCTTAACCACTTGAGCCACCACAGCCCCACAAGACGAGTACAAAATGCAAAATTAAGAATACAAAATTAAGCAAGTTTGGTGGTGGAAAGTGTTGTCAAGTCGCAGCTGACGTACGGTGGCCCTTTAGGATTTGCCAGGCCGGAGATGAACTAGGGGTGGTTTTCCATTGCCTGCCTCTGCTTAGCAACTTCCTTGTCAGTCTCCCACCGCCGAAGTCCTAACCAGGGCCGGCCCTGCTTAGCTTCCAAGATCTGACCAGATCGGGCTAGCCCGGGCAGTCCAGGTCAGAGCTACATTTACAAGAACCTATTTTGTCCCCTCATCTTTCCGGTCTTTCCCTCTCCAGGATGAAGAGAATCCTCTGGATGAGCCTCTTCTGTATCCCCTCTGCCGGGCAGGCAGTGCAGACCTGGTGGATCTCAGCTACGACGAGGAAGAGGAATTGGGGTGCCAAAAGAGTGAGACCTCGGCAGGTATGGGCTAAGCTGATCAGGGGGATGAAGAATCCTATGAAGTTTTTGGGATTGTAGCCAGGGGTCATTTCGTAGAAAAAGAGGTGCAGGGGCTCATTAGCATAACTCATTAGCATAACTTATTTGCATATGCCACACCCCCTGACATCACCGGAAGTGTGTCAGAAGGCAACACCCACCGCTCAGGTGCCACTGGACTGTTTTGGATTGCTAGCTATTGGGAGGGGGGGAACGTGCAGATCTGTCCTTGCAGAGGAGGGAGAGCTTCTACCTGCATAAAACTTGGTCTTAAAGGTGCCACTGGACTGTTTTGGACTGGGGGACCGGGGGGGGGGCTCTGCAACTTACCTGGCTGCTTCTTGCTCTGACTGAGGGCTGCTGGGAGCAGGGGGTGGGGCTTGTTGCATGTGTCTACCCCCTGGGCTCTTTACTGCCGGAGCTCCGCTCCTGTAGGAAAGGACCCCTGATTGTAGCTACCATTGCATGAGGGGGGAGGGGATTGGTTTAAAAAAAACACCTCCCTGCAGTTGGGAAGGAAAAGTGGAGCTGGGGCCACCTTTGATAGACCCGTGGACTGACTTGGCAGGGGGCAGCTTCAAGGAATTTGTGTATTGTAGCGGCTTCACCTCCTTCTCTCATCTCCTCCCTTTCCCCATTCTTAGCACCTTCAAGTCCTGACAGAGTCTACAAGAAACGGGTCAAGAGCAAGCTGAGACGGTTCATTGCCAAGCGGCCACCGCTGCGGAGTTTACAAGAAAAAGGACTGATTCGAGGTGAATGTCCAAGACCTCAGCCTCTGGTGGCAACCACCATGGGCTAAGTTCAGAGAATACATTTTCTGAGACGGTCTTGTCACACTGCCACTGCCCAGCGCACATGTGCTGAGTCTGTTGAGTGCTGGCTGGACAAACCCGTGTTACTTAATGCGTCGAGTGAAACCCTGGAAAAGTCGAAATCTGCCCCCATGCAAAGTGGGAACCACCCCTGATGCCACAGATGTCTGTATATTTTGAGAAAGGGAGGCATTGTGGCTCAGTGGCAGAGCATCTGCTCGGTATGTGGAAGGTCCCAGGTTCAGTCCCCAGCACCTCCACTTGAAAGGATCAGGCAATAAGTGATGTGAAAGACCTCTGCCTGAGACTCTGTATAGGCACTGTCAGTTAAAGCTGACAGTACTGACTTTTGCTGCTTCCACACAGGGGTGGGAAAAGTTGCCTGTGCTGTGGAAGCAGGCGTGAGTGATGTGGAGGTTTGTGAGAAGGGCATCTGTCTGCCCTATCCTGGCGCTGCTCACTGATGCCCTGACCCCCTTCCCCTTTGTTGCCTTGGCACAGAAGTGCAAACAGGACAGAAATCTTGCTGGGTCCGCCCTGTGGCCTGGTGGTTCTGCCTTAACACACGGGGGGGGGGGGCTCTGCAACATACCTGGCTGCTTCTTGCTCCTCATGGCCGGACTGAGGGCTGCTGGGAGCAGGGGGCGGGGCTTGTTGCATGTGCCCGCCCCCTGAGCTCCTTACTGCCGGAGCTCCGCTCCTGTGCGCTCCTGCAGGAAATGACCCCTTGAAAGCCAGGCTGGGTTGGAAAACATCCCCAGGCCCCCTTTCTGCAACTAAGGGAGGCTCCAGCGAACCATCCATGGAAGATCGCAGGATTCTGGGTCTCCTTTGATTAGTGGAATTCAAAGTCCTCCAGCGCTGTCCGAAGACGTTTCCGTGGTCATGTGGCCGGCATGACTAAACACCAAGGCGCACGGAACGCTGTTACCTTCCCACCAAAGTGGTACCTATTTATCTACTTGCAATTTCTTGCTTTCGAACTGCTAGGTTGGCAGGAGCTGGAACTAGAGACGGGAGCTCACTCCGTCATGCTGCGCACTCGGGTCTCGAACTGCTGAACTGCCGACCTTCCACAGCCTGTAGTTCAGCGTCTTCACCACTTGAGTCACCGCAGCTCCTTGGCCCATGCCCTATATCCTATTATGCTCAATGGGTTACCGCCATTCTTAACAGTGCCTGTGTTACTGCATCTATAGCTTTGCAATAAAAGTATAACCGTTCCTGAATGTGTGTACTTCGTTGTAAGCTGTGGGTTCTGACACGAATGCACAGCAGGGCTTCCCATATTATGTCATCCTATCCCACCCTGCTAAGCCCCTGTCCTTTTTATCCTTAGACCAGGTCTTTGGCTGCCGCCTGGAAGCCCTGTGCCATCGGGAAGGGGGCACAGTGCCACGCTTTGTTCAGCAGTGTGTGGAGGAAGTCGAACAGAGAGGTAAGTGAGCTTAGTAGTTCTTTGAACACAGCTCGGAGAACCCTTTACCTAAAGCCCCATTTTGGCTGCTATGTTTTCCCCTGACCTGACAGTACACTCCTATGTGCATCCCAGCAGTCGCAAAAGGTTCGTAGAATTCATAATGACCTCCCTCCCTCCCTTTCCAGGTCTGGATGTGGACGGTATCTACAGAGTCAGTGGGAACTTGGCCGTTATTCAGAAGCTGAGATTCATAGTTGATCGTGGTGAGTGTTTACAGTGATATCTGGGGGTGGGGGGTGGGAGTAAGCAGGGAAGGAAGTTGAAGGGGAAGGAGACGCAAAGTCTCCAAGCCATCTCTTCCCCTACAGTGCTTTGCTTTGGGTAAGGACAGATTTGAAGAGCAGTAGGGCCAGTCTGACTGCATCTCCCACTACGTTCGTTTCAAATGTACCCTTTTCAGTCCTGATTGAGCTTCGGAAATATTGGCCTGCATGTTCTTTTCATGGTTGACTGAACTGGGGGAAGAGCCATGGGTGGAAGACACTTACTGCCTAGTGACCATGCCATCAGGAACACCTGTCCGCCGCCCAATCGCCAGGCCATTTTGCTTTTGTGACTTTTAAAAAATGCGAACCAGCATTTGATTTGCTGATAGTTATGTATGCGAGGCAAGTTCTGAAGCCAGGATCACACCATATGTGAAGGACCCACCGTGTTCAGTGTTAAAATGCCACATCGGCCTTCCCTTTTCCCACGTGACCCTCTGTAACTATTATGTTGCCTTGCAGAGCGAGCAGTGACATCGGACGGTCGCTATGTTTTTCCGGAGCAGCGTAGCCAAGGTAACGTCGGGTGCATCTTGGTTCCCTTTGTGTCTGTATGATAGATCCTGGCAGCTACACTGGTCCCTTAGAGCAAGTGAGATGGTCAAGAGTGTCTATCTGACACTCTTCGACCAACTGGTATTTTGAATGCAGTATGCAAGCTTTTGAGTCATGCAGGACTTTTCCTTCTGGCTGGATACTCAAAAGAACAAGACACATGGCTGTTTCTGTGCCAGGACCCCACATAATTATCCTAAGCTTTGGGGTCTTCCTTGAACCTGAGATGGAGAGGGAACTTTGGAACATTCAATTACATTACAAACAGGGGAGGTTTCTGCAGTTAAGCAACGCGTGAAACATTTTGTTGTCTTCAGAAATATATATTCAAAATGGATTTAAGGCGTGTCTGCTTTTTAAAGCATTCTCCGGACCTCACAGTTCCTTTGTGCAGGACAGGGAATAGGTGGGGCATAAGAGCCTCTGAGACGGATTCTACGGAGGAGAGGCCATTAGCCGCAAGGTATAGATGGAACATTATGTCTGGAGCAGTGATGTTCTGTATTCTTGGTGCTTTGGGGGAAATAGTGGGAGGGCTTCTTGGAGTTCTGGCCCCACTGGTGGACCTCCTGACGGCACCTGGGTTTTGGCCACTTTGTGACACAGAGTGTTGGACTAAAGAGGCCATTGGCCTGATCCAAGATGGTTTCTCTTATGCTCTTAAATCTTTTTTAAGAATCCTGGCACTCTAGATCCAGCTCTGCATTAGCAACAAGCGAGGATGGAACCAGAGGGTGATAGCTACTATCTGGTGCATTAATCTGGGGTCTGATCTATTCTGCAAGACATAGGTGCTGAGCTCAGGGGCCTGCTGTGACCCCTCGGGTACCTCTGTCCACACTGACTCTGCTGTTTACCCCCACCAGAGGATAAGTTGCGTCTTTCCGACCCTCAGTGGGACGATGTGCACGTGATCACTGGGGCCCTCAAGCTTTTCTTCCGGGAGCTCCCTGAACCTCTGATACCATACAGCCTTTTTGATGAATTCATGGATGCTGCCAGTAAGTGCCTTTCCAATTCCTTTTCCTTTGTCACAGCAACCAGTGTGCACGATACGGGCCTGAGTCAGGGTTGAAGATCCTTGTTTTCAGCATCAGAGCTCAGCTCAGGAAAAACACGCTAACGGGATATAAATGAACTTGCATTAATATTCTCCGCAGAAGAAAAATGATCTCCCCCAAACCCTCTTAGCACCTTTTCAGATGCTACTAAATTCTAGTGCAGAATAGGGTCCAGAATAGGAGAGAAGCCATAGCTCAGTGGAAGAATATCTGCTTGGTATGCGGAAGGTCCCAGGATCATTTCTGGAATCTGTAGTTAAAGGATCTCAAATAGCAGGTCCTGGGAAAGATTGTTATCACCCGAGGCTCTGGAGAGCTGTGGCCAATCGGAATAGACCATACTGAGTGGGACGGATCGAGGATCTGATTCAGTCTAAGGCAGCATCATGTGTCCATAGGTATATAGGATAGATCACGTGTCTTGCATAGATCATTTGCTTCTGCTAGAAAACCTACGTTTTTTTCTGGCCCAACAATTCTGGCTAGGGCACAGCCACATCTTGAACATGGATGCAGCATCAGTGCATAAGGTCAGGGTGAAGATAGATGTCACATGTTAAGAGCTGTAAGGTGTAGTTTGAAAGCTCTCTCATCAGTAAAGATAAAGGTTTCCCTTGCTTGAAAACTAGTTGAATCCGACTCTAGGGGGCGGTGCTCATCTCCATTTCAGCGCTGTCTAAAGACTTCTCCGTGGTCATGTGGCTGGCATGACTAAACGCCGAGGCGCACAGAACGCTGTTACCTTCCCACTGAAGCAGTACCTATTTATCTACTTGCAGTTTCTTCCTTTCGAACTGCTAGGTTGGCAGGAGCTGGGGCCAGAGACAGGAGCTCCCTCCGTCACGCGACACTCGGGTCTCGAACTGCTGACCTGCAGACCTTCTGGTCTGCAGCTCAGTGTCTTAACCTCCGAGTTTTCTGACGCAGGGCAGTTTTTGATGCTGAAAATCTTACTCTGTACTTCAGCAGCACATTAAACCATGAAAAAACCATCTATGGAAGACCCCAACTGGACAGTGATTATATTACTACTACTACTACTACTACTACTACTACTACTACTACTACTACTACTACTACTACTACTACTACTACTACTACTACTACTACTATTATTATTATTATTAACACACATCTTAATCCCTGCAGCCATTTTGCAACTTATTTTGAAATGGTTGCAGTTTCTAAAAAATAAAGCTAAGAGTGAATGTTTGTATGCTTAAGTGTATATACAGTACTTAAAATGTGTTTCTTAAAAACACCGATGGCCCACCTGAAGCACGGGAAAGGGGAGCAAGGCAGATGGCTGAACCAGCATTTAATGCTGCGTCCCCTCGTGTATCTTCCCAGAATCAAAGGGTGGGGATGTGTGATTAACACATGGGATTCACTGCCACAGGAGGTGGTGGCGGCTACAAGCCTGGGCGGCTTCAAAAGGGAAATAGATAAGCACATGGAGCAGAGGTTCATCAGTGGCTATTAGGCACAAGGTATAGATAGGATCTCTCGGTCTGGGGCAAGTGATGCTCTGTACTCTTGGTGGTGGGGGGGGGGCAACAGTGGGAGGGCTTCTAGTGTCCTTCTCCCACTGCTGGACCTCCTGATGGGCACCTGGTATTTTTGGCCACTGTGTGACAGAGTGTTGGACTGGATGGGCCTTTGGCCTGATCCAACATTGGCGTTTCTTATGTTCTTAATGTGAGGAGATTCAGTATCATCCCATTAGCAAATCCCTACTTCCCGTAAGCAGCGGTGGTGAATGGGGTATGGAAATGTATTAGTTTTTTCAACTACACATTAATAACAAGTAAGTACCATCAAGATAGGAGCTGCGGTGGCTCAAGTGGTTAAGACGCTGAACTGCAGGCTGTGGAAGGTCAGTAGTTGAGCAGTTCGAGACTCGACTTGCCATATTATGGAGTGAGCTCCCATCTCTAGTTCCAGCTCCTGCCAACCTAGCAGTTCAAAAGCAAGATACTGCAAGTAGATAAATAGGTACCACTTCAGTGGTAACAGCGTTCCATGAGCCTTGGTGTTTAGTCATGCCGGCCACATGACCACGGAAACGTCTTCGGACAGCGCTGGCTCTTCGGCTTGGAAACGGAGATGAGCACTGCAACCCTAGAGTCGGACTCGACTGGCTTTCGAGCAAGGGAACCCTTTACCTTTACTTTACTTTACCATCGTTGCAATCGATTAATGGTGCCCCCTTAAGGGTTTTCAAGGCAAGAGATGAGCAGAGGTGATTTACCGTTGCCTTCCTGTGCACAGCAGCCCTGGTCTTCCTTGCTGGTCTCCCATCCAAGTGCTAACCAGGGCCAACCATGCTTAGCTTCCAAGCGCTGACAAACTCACAACTTGTCTGGGCTATTCAGGTTGGTAACTACACACTGGTGGTGGAAAGTGTTGTCAAGCCGCAGTTGACTTAATAGCGACACCGCCTAGGGTTTTTAAGGCAAGTGACGTTCAGAGGTGATTTGCCAGTACCAGGAAGATGATACGTTAGTGGCAGTCATGCATTTATGTCCAAAGGGTTGCTTGGTGCTTAATCAAGTTGCAGAGCCAGGCTCACACCACTGGCTAATGACCCAATGTAAGCACTGTTAATTTGGCCCTAGAACATGAGTCTCCCCTTGCATATGCTGCAAATGGTTTTTCTCTGCAGCTTATTTATTCCACAAGAGGAGCCCTGAGCTGCAGGTGGGAAGGCCAGAAGCCCAGGCCAATTTCTGGCCTCTTGGCTCCTTTGGGAACTGGTGATGTCCCCGTAAGTGAAAATAACGTAAAAGCAGCCATTCTGGATCAGTCCATGCACTCCAGCATCCTATTTCCCACAGTGGCTGATCAGATGCCCCTGAAAGGCGTGTAGGAAGAATGTGGGAGTCCAAAACATCCCCCAGCTGTTGCCTCACAGCAAGTGGTATTCAGAGGCACAGTACTTCTGAACACGGAGGCTCCATTTACACCTCCTCCTCCATGAATTCAGCTCATCCCCCTCTGAAAGCAATCTTAGCTGGTGGCACCACGACATCCTGTGTATTCTGTCCATCAATGATGCATTGTGTGAAGAAGTACTTTCGTTGGTCTGTCCTGAATCTGTTGCCCATCAGTGTGCATCCTTCCCACCCCTGCAACTGAAGAATGGCCTGTTCCACTTTCCCTATGTAGAGTTGTCTGACCCGAAGGAAAAAGTATCCAAGATGGTGGGGCTGGTCCAGAGCCTCCCCCAAGCCAACCGGGACACCCTCCGTTATTTACTGGAGCATCTCCGCAAGTAAGGGATTAATCTCCTTGCTTTCTTACCTGTTACCTGTCGCCGGCACATGCTACGTTTGTTGCTAAAATTACAGCTGGCCCGTCAACCGTATTCCTCTGATGAGTATGTTTCCAGCTGTCTAGTTTTTGCAATCGTATTTGCTTTGCAAGCATATTCTGAGTTTTGCAAAAACTGGAAAATAGTGTCATTTGGCAGGTAGAACTGCATGGCACCTTGCGGGGGGGGGCACACCTTCAGATTCGCGGTATTGAAATGTCAAAATATATATTTCTAGGCTGTAGATAGAAGGAAATGTTAATGTTTCAAAGATTCTTCATTGTGATATGCAGAGATAAATCCGGGAATGGTTTTAAGCATGTGCAAGGTGCCCCTCCCACATCCTCAGGGATCCCCAAGCATTTAAAAACAAAATCCATATTTTATTTATTTAGACATTCAAGGCCCACTTTTCTCCCCAAGAGGGACCCATAGCGGCTTACAACGTTGTTCTTCCCGCCTCCATTTTATCCTTACAATAACAACCCGAGGGGGGGGGCGGATTGAGCTGAGAGAACGGGACTGGCCCAAGATCACTTTGCAAGTTTCTGTGGCAGACCGATGGCCCACAGCTGGAATTCCAAAATCCCAGTCCAACACCCTGATCCCTACACCACACTGGCAGAATATATTGGCACGAGCAGGGACGGAACTTACAGGGAGGCTGCATCTCTTCTCCCCCTTTGCTTCCTTCTCCTCCCTCCCCCCTTCTCTAACAAGCTTCCCCTTTTCTCCCCCACCTCCCCTTCTGTGTTAACCTACCCCCTTCTCTGTTTCTTCCCCTTGGTGCAGTGGTTAGGAGTTGTGCAGTGGTCTGTAATCTGGGAGAACCGGGTTTGCTTCCCCACACATGCAGCTGCTAGTGCGACCTTGGGTCAGTCACAAGTTCTCTCAGAGCTGTTCTCTCATGCGCAGTTCTCGAAAGAGCTCTCTCGGCCCCACCCACCTCCCAGGGTGTCTGTTCTGGGGAGGGGAAGGGAAAGGAGATTGTAAGCCGCTCTGAGACTCCTTTAGGCAGTGAAGGGAGGGGTATAAATCCAATCTCCTCTCCTCCTCCTCCTCCTCCTCCTCCTCAGAGTATCCCCCTTTCTCCCCCTCGCCTTATCTGACCTCTCTCTATTCCTCCCTCTTCTTTCTCTCCTCCCCTTACCTGACAACCTAAACACCTCTCTTTTTTGTCCCCCACCCCACCCCTTTCCCATCAATTTCCTCCTATCCTTCTCTGTCGACATAACTCAGCCCTAATTCTCCCCCCTCCCCCGGTTTCCTTCTCTGACAAGTCCCCCCTTTCTTCCCCA